TGAGGTCAAGCAACTAATTAATCATTTTTTAAACGTTAAACTTTATGAGGTTATTCAGTTATCTTCTAAATACAAAATAGGGCAAGTTTTATCACCTGATGGAAAGCTATAAGACGGTGGTAGCACTGAGGCTGGAATGGCCCATGAAGCCATGCCGCTTGCTGGGGGGCTTTAAGCGTACAGAATTTGATGAGAGCGGTGATCGCTCCATACAACTCTGTAGAGGAATTCGTCTTCCTCTTTCAAGCCGTTGCTAAACACGCTCATCTCTTTCTAGAACCACCACTTCTGTAAAAAATTAAAAATATTTTAAAATCAGCATGCTATAAATATTAATTAAAAAATAATTTTATATAATATTTCTAAAATATATTTCCCTCTCAGTAGTGTTGGTATAAATAGAAAAAGAATATCACGTAGAGTGCACGATTCTTGATTTTGATTACTAATTTTATACCAGGACTCACAGGCGGATCTACGAGAGGGGGGCGGAGAGGGTCTTTCGGGCTGAAGCCCACTCTCCTCCCCCCCCCCCCCCAAATGGTAAAATATAATCATGTTTTCCTGAAAAAAATATTGAAAACTATCTCTTAAAGTATTCTTGTTCGTTTAATTACATTTAATAGGACTTCATAGTTATAATTGACAGGTGCGGATAAATATATGTAAGTGCAAAAAAAAAAAAAAAAAAAAATAGGACTTCAAGAACCACTTAAACACCATTTCATATAGGTAGTTGATTTCTTTCTTTCTTTTTTTTTTTCAAATTAATTATCGTTATATGTATATGAAAAAAAAAAAAAAAAAAAACTTTCGGGCTGAAGTTCCCCCAAAATTAAATCCTGGATCCGTTAGTGCCAGCAGGACTTAAATAAAAGTGGGAAGTGGGAAAGTGAGAGAATGTAAAAGTGGGAGGTTTCAAATGATATAATTAATCATATCGGATGTACATAGGTGTGATTGTGTTTTATTTATTTTGTTATTATTCGGCTAATCTGTTATATTATTTATCTTGTATATTACTTTATCTATTTATTTATATATATATATATATATATATATATATATATATATATATATATATATATATATTTTTTTTTTTTTTTTTTTTTTTTCCTTTCTTATGTACATATTGTGTGAATGAATACTATAGCCCTAGTACCAGTGCCCTTCAGTGTGGCAGACTGTATTAATTCTCAATAAAAAAAAAAAATCATATCGGAGGCATTGAAGACTTTATAAGTAATACTTTTATTCATATTTTATGTTACAAATGGCATCTTAAAATACAGAATAATACTATGAACATATGGGTTGACTACATGAGTTCACTCCAGATTTTCTACAAGAGTGTGACTTCAAGAATGTAACTGCAAAAGTGATTGTTCTGAGGAGCATAGGGGTAATAAGTTATTAACTATTAAGAATTGATATCCTTATCCTTTAGAACTGATATGAAGTTGGTGAGAAAGAGACCTTTTGCTGAAATATGTTATTGTTTCCTAAGTCATGATAATGGGTCTTGTGTCCAGTCGGTACATTCTAAATAACTTTTTTTTTTTTTTTTTTTACTAGATTGCTTATCTAGGGAAAGCTTTGGTCTTTTATTCAAAGATGAGTTATGAAAATTGTCAATACAATACATGATTCACCAATTGGCATATTTAATAAATTCTATTATTAAAATAAAAGGTAAATTAATATTATTATTGAGGAAGGAGATGGTCCGGGTTGGCGATCATAAAAAGGCTAAATAGTGGCAAAACTATTTTATTAAAAGTGAACGTTTCGACCCAACTTAGCAGGTCTTTTTCAGGGACGTGTGTTCAGCTAAGAGTTTCAACTAGTCTCAACTTCAGTTCTAAGTGAAACTCCAAGCTGAACTCACGCCCCCGACCGATTTAATAAAATAGTTTTGCCACTATTTAACCTTTTTATTACCGCCACCGCGGACCATCTCCTTTTGTTTTAAATATTATTTTTATTTGTTACGGATTAAGTTCATTCCGTAACTATATGATGATGCCGTCTCAAGGAATGGAAACGTTAAAAATGAATCCATAATTGGCAAATAACTCGAAAAGTATGCAATTTTTGGTACATTATACATAAGATTATTTGAAAGCTTACTAAATTCCTTACAAAACGTAAAAAGATCGATAACAGCTGTGTCTGATAAAATATTTTCTTATATATAAATATGTCTTCCATTAAACACTTTCTGGAATGCTTGTCAATTTGCTTCAATTAAATTAGCTTTTCCTTTTAGATCTTTATTATTCTTGAAGTTTAACATTTTAAAAATACATTTTTTATAATAAAATAACACATCCTGATAGGTATAACTACCCCTTCCTGAGAATTGAGCATTTTGCTGTTATTTGATATTCATAGCAATGTTTAGAGTCTTTTGTAAATTTATGATAATCCAGTGAAGGAAAAACCTAATATTTAAATTACAGGTTTAAAGAGACGCTATGGATAAACCATGACAGAGTGTAAATCATATCTATAAACTGATAGCTTACTGTGGACTGTTAATGGACTTGAACTGTGGGGACAGCTAAATTATCGGATATCAAACGTATCCAATCATTCCAATCCAAAGTACTCAGAACAATAGTCAATGCTCATTATTATGTTGCAAACAAGACTTTACACCATGACCTTAACATTCCATATGTCCTTGACGTTATCCCGTCCAGATTTACAAAATTCCACCAGAATCTTGTTCATCATCCTAACCCTCGAGCTCAATCCCTATCCAGCTCTGACCATCCCTATAATCGCCCTCGAAGATTAAAGCGGCAGTGGCTCTGAGACCTTTTTAAATCTTCTTTTGGACTGCTTGCAATAGCCGGCTTCTCCACTCAAGTCCTGATGGTCTGTGGCTCCAGTGCCCTCTTTCAGTTTTCACTGGCTTCTAATACCAGTGAGGCGGCTGGAAGAGAAGTACTGGAAACTTTTGAGCCTTGTTTTGTTTCCCACCTGTGGAGAACAAAGCTTGGCTCGGAGTTTCCTGGGCGAATGTAGACATTGTATATATGGGTATGAATGTGTTTAAGAAGATTAATATTATTTATTTATGTATATATTCATTATTATTATTTATATTTGCTTCCTGTTTTTGTTTTGTTTTGTTTTTTGTATGAATGAAATCTTGTAGCACTAATACTTGTTGCCCTTCATGCGGTAGATTGTATTACCATTCAATAAAATATTAAAAAAAAAAAAGTTCAAATCGTATTATTCTTAATATTTTCATTAAGTTTCGATAAAATTGTTCATTAATGTACCTAATTTATAATAATGATTTTTCTTTTGTTTATATGAGTCAAAGATGGTTTTCTTTATACACTGAGGTACAAAAAGAAATCCATGTGCGAGACTAATTTTTGTATATTTATTATTTTTTTGATACACAGAAGATTGTATCGAAGTATTGTTTTCATATTATGGTTGCAAGTTGGATGTAGAACTGCGAAACGCTTTATTTACCAGTTAAGAAACATTTTGTTGTCCTTTTTTTTTTTTTTAAACTATGTTTATTGAGAGATATTACAATCTGTCACTAATAAGGACATTTATAATAGTGTTCAGAGAGCATAATTGTACAATTAATAAACCTACCAGATCGAGAAGCACGGCCAACGTAAATTGTAGAATCGTTGCCGGAGAGGTCGGAGTTACCCTGGCCAACTGCGATGTCCAGCTTTGGGCCTAAGGTGCTGTGGTTCTTCCCAACGCAGATTCTGCACAGCCTTATAAACATAATTAAACTGTGTGATAATTCACGTATACCATATCACATAAAGTATAGTATATAATATAATAATATAAGTAATAATAATGTAATATAATAATATATAATATATAATATAAGTAAGTATAGAATAAAGGGAGTTTCTTCGAAATAAGTTCAATCGTTTTTTCGTGAAAATCACCACAATAAAGTCCAACTGGTAAATAATAATTTCTAAAACAAGAAAATCTTGTACGAGTCATATTATGCACTATTGGACGACCCACACTATTCTTTTTTTTTTTTTTAGCTAAGACAAATTGATTTTTTTTTTTAATTTTAAATTTCTCATAGTTTTAGAATCGCGATTATGTCCTCATAGTTTGCTTAAATATTCAAATTTCACTATTAATAACAAAAAGGCATATTTACTAATCAATTTTTACAATTAACGCTTTTACAATTAATTTTAAACGCTTTGCTTTGATGTGTCGACAGTAATTTTTTTTTAAAAGAAGAATTAAAAAAAAAGTATTTATGTAACAATAATTTGAATAAAAATGTATTTTCCTACTTCATGAGTTTATCTAGGCCATAGTTTTATGTTTAACCCTTAAAAACCATCAACTGGAGTAACAACTATTTAGATCCTCATAATATTTACCTATGAAAGATGAAAGCTCAATATATGGAATAAAAGAGGTGAATTTCAACTCTGTGGTGAGCTCATAAATAGCACCGGATTTGTCTCAACTAAAAACAGCTGATGAGCTCTGCGCTGAGTTTAGTAACTTCTTATAATAGCTTATATTGATTTTTGAAGCGAATAGTTCAATTTTAGTCGGACATTCTGGTGTTTATCCAGAGCTGATGAAACAAAATAAATAATAATCTGCCACAAACAAACTAGAACCCGGGATCTTGATCTTACGAAGTTAGTGCCTTACCCGATGTGCTTCTCCGCTTCTTGTCGTAATATAATAAATGCGTAATATACCTATACCGATAAATATCGAACTAATTCCTTCTAAATTACATTGAAGGGGGCTAAGAATGTATGAAATCTGATGACGAAGTTCGACCCCGACTTTTAATAATTTTATATTCATTCGTTTTTTCGGTTGTTTATTTAACAATTTCAGATAAGTTGACCAGTACCATAGTTGTGAAGGCTTAACATAACATTATTTTGAAACTGCAATTTCAATATACTCAGAACAAGATGTCGCAACTAATGGTTATAAATTTATTCTTCTTACCTTGTCTGGAAGAGTGAGATGAATGCCATCCTGAATTTGTGGTTCATGAAGCAATATGTAATTGGATTACAGCATGAGCTGATATAGGATAGTAAATGGACAAGAGAAACTCCTGTACTTCCTATATATTTGTAAACCATCTCAGGGCTGAAGAGGTACCATGTGTTGAGGACGTGAATAGGGGCCCAGCACACGAAGAACTCGGCGACTACCACGAAAAGCATTCTGATCACCTAAAAAAATAAATTTAATAAATATTAATCAAATAAGCAGAATTTTCTTCAAATGTAAAAGATTTGTAACAATTAGATGTAAAGCTGCTATCTGCGGTTTCGTTGGCAAGAAGATAAGATATAAGATAGATTATAGTAATGAGGTTTATTCTTCAGCAAAAAGAAGCCATCTCCCACTCTGGGATTCTGTGCACTACACGAGAATAAGACTTGCAACTAGCACTTTTTGGACAACCCAAATTGAAAGTCTTTGTGCAGAGGTCTCCATAGCTCCTCTATTTTTTCGAAGGTAGTCACTAATTAACAATTATATTGCAAAATTAAAACTTCAGCCAACAAATCCTGCGTACAACAATTTATTCCAGCTAGAAAGCGTTAGAAATTATGAAATGAATCTCACAAGAAGTGCACCATTAGGTATAAGGCAAAAATACGTCATTAGAGAATATGCACCATGCCTAATGAGCAATCTGACCCTATTTTAAGATCGCTACTCTAGAAATACCAACCGGTTAAAACAGATCTCACTATTAACCCCAATAAATCATGTTCCAATAAACTTAAATTCCTCAATGAGATTCAAAAATATTCAGATCATGAAATAATATACACTGTTGGATCCAAACAGAATGATAATGTCGGTTTTGCAGCAATTGTAAATGGGATACCCCAAAAGTATAAATAACCCCAACTTCAACAATATATACAGTAGGATCGTAAGCTATTTCTGCAGCATTGTACATGCTCTGATTTAATTTACGCCGTTCAGAGTGCAACAAATTTCAATAAAACCGAACCAACAACAAACAGAATCGATCATCACATCGAAATTATAAACAATCTTAATAGAAGTATAATTATTTTTCTGGACTCCAGGACACTCCGGGATACCAGAAAATGAGACAGCGGATAAAGCTCCAAAAGAAGCTGCTCATACGAATATTCCATCTCTCCAAATATACAAGCCGAATGATATAAAAATATTGTTAAAAGACAGAGTACGGAAACATTGGGGGTCTATGTGGGATGAAATTCCACCGCCTAACCACCTTAGAAATATTTAAAACAGTATAAATAAAATAGTGGAAAAGTACTGGAAGAGAAAACAAGAGAAGAAGTGGCAGTGACAAGGATGAAAATTTTTCATTCTAACCTGACTCATGTTTATTTAACTTATAACTTAATAAATTTTGATTTATTGACTTCCGTCATTAGTCTTCTAGAAGGTACAGGGCTGTTCTAGGAGACAGCTGTGACCGTTTGGTTCTCGTATACTTGTATAGATAACCAGGGAGCACGTCGTTTATAATAACCGGACCCAGTCACTAATCACTTCCTCTTCATTAGAATCGTTGGCAACCCTTTTGCAGACTTCTCCATCCTGTTGTTTTTGCGGGATAGGGTTAATGGCCCTGTGTCCAACTCCCAATCTGGAGGACCATGAACTCTGATGTTAGAAGGCACAGGAGCCGCTCTCACCTTCCTTTGAATCTCAGGCTGGGGACGTTACCGTCCCCATGCGGAGATCGAACCCGCGCCGTAGTAGTCTAAGCAATGGAGTATGGCCTGAACTTATTTATTTATTAGGTCTTTTTTTTTGTGTGTTAAATCCCGCGACATGGATTTAAAAACTCGTAGCTTAAAACTCGTTAACTAACCAACACGGCCCCGCATTAAAATGTATTTCATTAACTTTTATAGATGCATGAGTACGAATTATAAACATACAAGGTTTGAAAGAACAGTATTTGGCAACAGCACTCGCGAACCTACAGCGAACTCAGGTCACAACCCCAGTCATCAGTACACCTCCCAGACATATTGTCATTTAAAGTTTTTAGCTGAATATAAAACTTGGTACGATCTAAAAAGTGCAACATCAATCTTATGTACTCTCTTTAACCCTTGAATTCTATTTTAGCATTAATTTACGAGTTTTTTTCCATGCAAGTACCGAGTTAACTAAGAAGCTCCCTGATCGACCTGCAAAGAATAAAACTGTACTAGAAGCTTTGAGGAGAAGAATGAAGGAAATATATTAAAATTTGTGACACAAAGGCTGATAAACGTAAAATATTTTGCTATTTAACTAAACCACTTTGGATGAAAAAATCAAGGATATCAGAATTGCTGTTAGGATCAGTATGCCAGTAGGTAGGTGAGTTGGGAGAAAGGAGGCATATTTGCTATATGTGGCCAGATTCTCCACTAAAGTTATGAATGTATATGGCTACAACGCTCTCGCTCAATCTTCAATGGCTTTAGCACCAGTGCACTGGTTGAGAGGGATCTCCTGGGATTCTCCTTTTGCTTCTAATAATGTTGGAAGGACAAGGCTAGCTTGGAGTACCTTCGCCCGCTTGTAAGTAGTTTTTCTTTTTCTTATCTGAGTTATTTTATTTTTATTTATTGTAGTATAGACTTTTGCTTCTGTTTATTATATATTTTCTGTGCAGATGTAGGAATGTAGTCATACCTCACTGTAACTATTGAACAAAAACAGAATGTATTATTACTAGAAACAAACAACAAAAATAACTAAGGTTCGTAGAAGAAATGTGGAGCCCGTAATTTCTTCTATTTAATTATTTTTATCGTATTAATCTATTTGTTTTTACCTTTAAATTTAAATTGTTGAAATCTATTTCCGTCTAAACTGAGACCCGTAACTTGTCTGTATCATATGTTTGGTCTATTTATCTACCATTCAATGAAAAAGTCGTGGTTTATATTTTTATTTTTCATAGATAACGAACTATAGAAGGTTCCCGTTCAGATAACTTGATTGATATCTGCTTTCAGTTTTAATTTTATTCAGTTGAAGTTCATTTCCATTTTTACAGTTTTATCATTTGCAATTCTATTTTCCTCATACAGTTATTCTTCTAAGTTATCTTTGATTTATGTTATTTTTGACGTTAAAATATTTGTAACTCGTCAAAGATTCAGGATTCCAGCCTTTTTTAAAGGCCGTCTCCAGTATTGCAATATCTTTCATCTTCGGCCATCAGTACTTGGTTAATTTATGGACATAATTTGCTATACAAGAATGTTATAAGATTTATAGTATAAATGTAATTTTGTATGTTTTCATAGTAATACTACTGATGCAAAATTATGTTTTTATATAACTTACCTTCTTCTTAGCTTCTATGCTCTTGTCCATATAGTTGGATCTTATAGCCTGCCTCGTGAACTTGGAAAAGCTATCATCTGTCTGTACCAGAGGAAGTCTTACTGTTTCTTCTGGTGCTTTTACCTGAAAATTGAACTGTTTTAAAATACTTTTAATAATTATTAATAAGAAAACAACATATAAAAAGTTTGAAAAATCTATTTTTCTCCTAGATATTCGAATGTTAAAATATTTGCATAAGGACATGTAATGAAGAACGGGAGCAATAATTCTCTACATTAAAATTCAGGACTAACTTTGGAGGGAATGAAGACCTCCTAAGTTACCTTAACTGGATTAAACACTCGTGCAGCAAATGTGTGAGCTCAAGTACAGTCCTGGCTTTAGACATATGGTGCCCCCGGGCAATGAAATTTTCCCCTTCGACTCAAAATAAAACTTATTTCTTAAGCAGTTTTATATTAAGTAATACTTGAATTTTATTTCATTCAATACTTCTCTAATTCAGTTTCTTTATTAACAGGGTCAAATTAATTTTTCGTTTTATATATTTTTTTATCTTAACAAAGGCGCCCTTTTGCGAGTTTGCGTCTTGGGGCAATTGTTCATGTTCTGCCCTAAGGCCGGTTCATGCACTGCTCGGGTAACCTAAACGTGGATTACACGTGAATGTGTTCAAACTATAGAGAGTTTAGATTTCTGTTTTGTGATATTGACAATGTAATTAGTGTTTTATCTATATTTTATATTTGTTATGGTTATTTTTTTTCTTAAAATCTTCATCTGCACCTGTCGACGAACTGTTGACGATCAGTAGATGGTGTGTTGAGAATCATAGAAATGACATATTACGCATGGGGAAGGATATCATCAAGCAATTCCTCTTCCCTGGCTTGATTCAATTACCATGGTTTAGTTAAGAAGGAGATATAAAGTGCCTTTTTAATCTCCACCTTTAATTAATCTGAAGTCCGCAGAAGCCATATGTTTTATTGGTACGTCATTGTATATTAGTAAATAATTTGTAAAAAGCCCATGAGAGTTTGCCAATTGTTGGCAGGTTGAGTCAGTAGGTAGGGTTTTGTTAGTCACGCACCAAGTGATTTAGTCATGAGTGGTAATATTTTTGGGTCTTTTTAGTTACATCGTGTATCTGTGAGGAATATATCCATACAAGTTTAAGTAAATACACGTAGTTTGAGTCGCCTATGGAGGGTTTTTCGTTTTATTTTATCATGTGGGTTCTATGTCATCCTTCTGTTAAAGGTAAGTCGATGTTGAAATAGTATACAGCGTATCTACGAGAAATTTGGTTATTTTCGATATAAATTAGAGAGCAGACATTTGTTCAAAATGTAAATGTAATTTATTTCGGTTTAAACTATTTTTTCATAATTTGTAGCAGCTTTTTGATTTATCTAATTTTGTAACTTTACTGGGGCTTGTGTATGATCTAGTCATTTAAGTTTTGTACGACTTTTTTAAGGTAGTCTATTATTACACGCACATACCATTTTGGGAAACTTTGTTTTTCAGACAGAGACCAACAAAACGTGTATTTCTGTATAAAACTTGAATTAAAAGTTGTTCAGGGTCGCAGTAATTTCCTTGCCATATATTTCATATATAAGTAAGTGAAATTAGAAATTGCTGGATCCCGAATAAAAGCGGAAATAGGAGTAGCTCCAGATCTATCGATACAAATCCTTCCTGGGGTATTATTATATAACAGAGGTACTAAAAACGATGTTCTTCGTAGTGTGTTGCTGGTCTGATATGTTTACTTAACCCCACTTTCTGAAACAATTAATGTTGATAATAAATTATTTTTAGTATTATATCAAGTTAGATTTTATGATTACAAAAGAAGCTAGTAAAAAATTATAATGGATAATTTCATTTTATTGCTTATATTACAAATAAAATTTGCATGTCAGGAAGATGTTAGGTATTTTTTGATTTAATGAGTATTTCCAAAGAGGAAGTAAAGCAAAGATTTATTGATTTATTAGAAAAGATTTGTAGAATTCCAAGAGTCCCAGCTTCCTGGAAGTTATGTAAGACATCGCATACCTACTTTCTTTTATTTTTCATAGTTTTGTAATTTCTTAATAAACACTATTAAGTATTAAAACATTATTAGAATCAAATCATTATAATGGTTTTAGAATTATCTTTAATATTTTATGAAGAACAAATACAAATAAAAAATTAACAAAGGTGTGGGCTATAGACCACACGATAGAAGTAAAGCATCAACAAGACGAGATTATTAATATGAAATACAAATTATAAATAATGGACTTAGCCTCTCTAACAATGTGTCACATTAAGAAACAATTTTGAATAATAGCCCATTACAGAGCGGATGAAACGTTGAACAATTCCCTCGCTTACAGTATGAAGGATCGGTTTTTAGTTTCTGAGATATTTTAATCCATATATTCAATAAACCTCGTAATAATTTGGTTTTCAACACTATTTTTTCCTTTTTAGCCTCTATAACACGGCGTCGCGTTTCATCAATTGCAGATCCGAATTTTAGTGTTTGAGGTATTTTAATCCATGTACAAAAACAATTCAATTAGTCGACTCCAGCCGACTTTACCCGAGCGTTACACATCTGAGATCTGATTGGTCAATCTAATTTACTCTTCAGAAAAAAAAATGCAAAACGCGTCTAAAGAAGTTTTCACTTGAAAACAGTGAACAGAATCACGTGCGTCCATGAAATCTGTTTTTGGTTGAGTCGTAGAGCATACTGGATTTTTGTTTTTTTTTTGTTTTTGTTAAATATAAATAAATTTCGAAAAAAAATTAATTAATGTGAAAGTATTTTTTATCGTGATCAGTACACACCCCAGCTTTGTTGTGAGACTGCAGTTATCCTACTTAAAATGCTCTTTTATTTTATATAATAAATGCCCATGCTATGTTAATTTAATGCTTTTGCTAAAAAAAATCACCTCAAAATAAAAAATACCTTTGCTTAAGAAGCTTATTTAACTCCACTTCTAACATTTAATGATTGTTACATAATAAAACTTTAAATAATAATAAAACACTTAAGTGACTGTTTCGCAGCCCTATAATAAATATTGGTTTAGATCTTTTCAACATCAAAAAAAGGAAAACAGGTTTGTCCAACTTTAGACACTGATGTGAAAAACAGTATTTGAAATTAAAATTTGAGTTCTACCAATTGGTAGTTTCTCTTCATGTTGTACATGTCATGTTACACAACGTCACATTTACTTATTGTATTTTCCATGTAATACAGTTGTAAATCTCAATAAAATAAAATTAAAAAAAAAAATTAAAATATCATTGAGATTTTATTATTCTCTACTCTAAACTACTCAATGATTTGAAGTATCAGATACAATTTAAATGACCATACCTTACTTAAATTTCATTGCAAATTATCTATATAAATAAAATAAAGGTTCTGTCTGTACATTGAATAGAATCAACTCGTTTCATGATATCTTTCTGTTTCATACACTGCAGACACCAAATCAAGTTTTAAAAAATTTTTTGTCTGTCTACATGTCCGCATTGTCCAACGAAATTTTGTCAGGGGTAAGCTGAGCAATGGCTAAAGGTAGACTTTTGAAATTTTGACATTGTAATTAGGTTTGATTCACTTAAAACATAGACTTTAAATGAAAAAAAAATATTGAGTTGAACCAAAGTTATGAATTCTTAAATAATCTGTATAGAGATCCCGGTTAAGCAGTTCGATTCTCATTCCAACATGTTCTACCGCGAGCCACATTTAAAAGATGTACTATTCAACTGAGCGAAAAATAATCACATCTCAACATGAAAAATCCGAAATACCGAACGTCTGTAACGCGTTTTCGCTTAAAACACACTAATTTTTCAACTTTGTCCGACCTTCCCTTTCAAGGTGTCATTCGATTCAACTTCCCGAGGTTATCAAATATTGTTGTAAACATTTTTAGGATTAGCCGAAAATCGGGGGAAAACTCCCAAAAATTTCACTTCGCCCGCCACAATATTCAGATTAAGTTTTAATTTTATACGGATGTCGGTGACTCGAATATTATTTTGTGGATAATTTAAACTCAGCAGAGTTTAAAGAAGCGGAGAGACTACCCCTCATAATACAAAATCCATCTCAAATAAATATTTCCAAATTTAAACTATACACTCATTAACGACGGATGTATGAATTATGATACCACATTGGTGAAAATACTGGTATCCACATGAATTCAAATAAAAATATTTTTAATTCATACTAAATTTCAGAATGGAGGAGGGAGTTTCAGATTTGATAAAAACATCTCATTTTTTTTTAATATAGATTTTATAGAAATTTATTTAGCATCGTTCTCATCAGTGTAAGGGGTAAAAACTTATCGGGTTTAAATACATCTATAGTATATCGAAATTTAACTCCTGGATTGGAATTTGTAATTGACAATTTCTAAAATAATTTGTCTGCATTTTGGACTAGAATTGAGCTTCTGTCTTGTGTGTTTTGTGAGTTTTTGCTCATATACGTGAACCTCAACATAGTGGTTGCCGCCCAGTACTGCCGAAAGCAGTGGAGTTGAGATTTATTGCTCAGGGCTGTCGAGAAATAAATATTAACTGACCCAGGTGGGAATTTAATCCCCAACCTCCAAAACCAGACACTCTGGGATCCGCCCTCGCTCCATCGTGCTCAGCTATCAAGTTCTCTGGTATGCTCTTCGTATTTGTAGGGAGCTATTGAACTGCTGCAGATTTTATTACCGCAAATTAGTAATCGATATTCAATGTTGCAAGCATTGCTTACACAAAATATGTAATAATACTTCTGTCAGTTATTTACAGATTTTGGAATATATTTATTCACTCTTATTTAATCTCATTCAACTTCTACTCGAGTATCCAGACTGAATTTCGTTCTTTTCCGACCGTGTAGAGAATTCATTTCCATCCTAAACTATTCCAAACACCATTCTCCCCCCCTCGATCGCACTCTACTCCCTCAACCATGTTTTTTTTTTAGCTTTTTTTCGCCACGTTACGAGATCCAATTTTAATTCAATCGAGGAATACAACTGGAAAGATAAATAAAAGGCGAATGCAAGTTGAAAGGTGCTATGCATTTAATTTCATTAGCACATTGGTGGTGTCTACCTTAAACTTATTGAGCTACATATATTAAATATAACTATGAACTATCTACATCTGATTTCGAATCTGACGCCAAATTAGTTATTGAATTTTCAAATATATAGTTATATAAACAGTTTGATTTCTATCTTTTTATTGAAAAGAAATGAGAAATATCTCGCTTCTATACTGAAAAGGTCATTGGCATTTTTAGTCAGTAGTCCAGACCCCTTTTTATCAAATTATTAACAATATTTC